AAGGGATTGGGGGGGGGGGGACAAATGTGTTATGTTGCACGTGCTTGGAAAGTGTTACGGGTGTAGTGCTTCGACAGAGATTTTTAGACTGCCATTGGCACAAGTCTTAACGTCTAAATGACTCTTTCGTGCCTCTCGGGGCAGAGGCGCACTGGAAACGTGAGCGAGCTACTGCAGTATTAGCCTGCCAGGCACACTGCTGCCAACAGTCGACCTGGCAAGCACACACCTGGTGTAGCGTGCATGCTATATAGACGTTCATTCCAGTGAGTAGTCGCGTACTTAACAAACCTCCCCTACTAAAACCAATTGAAGAAACATGTGTAAGTGTCCAACTCAACGTCTACTACCTGCAAGTGTCTAGGCCGGTTTGGGCAATTTCACCCAAATTAACGAACTGTACGTCGGCATGTGAGTGAGCGTTCACGTTAATAGTGCATTCTATGGATTTGCAGTGAAGTCGATGCTGTTTCATCACTGTCAATCAGGATCAGGTAGGAACAAAAGTAAGAACAAGGTCAGGTTAATAGATGGACTGCATTCTTTTTAATAAAGTCGTGACTAAGACACATTTATACAGTCTGTTTTGGGGCGGCCACTGCTCGAGACAAAAACAACAAAAAACCTAAGCCTTAAGGCAAAACTGTGACAAGTTTTAAATGCGCAAAATCATATGGTTATCATAAAATAATCAAAAGGTTGAACATTATATAAAAGTACATAAATCGTACAACATAAAGAAACAATTCAAAAACAGAGTATAAACAGATAATTTCGAACACTGGAAAGTAGGAGGAAGGGAAGGAGAGGGCGGGAGGGAGGAGTCATTGTAGAGGGGCCCCTTCAAGCACGTTGGTACGCGCAGACGTAGGCCGTACTATACGGGGTGCAGACCTGCGAACTAGAACCCCCCCCCCCCCCTTCCACCCCTTTCGCCCTTCGCCCATGCAACCACACTCCGACTTGAGGTCCAACGCCAGGAGACGCATCTCCCACAGGTCGTCGGGCAGCAGGGCGAAGGACAAGGCGGGGGGTGCGGGGGAAGTGTTTAAAGCCTTCACACCTCGAGCACCTGCAGGTGCGCGGTTCAAAGCCCATTGGAAGCAAAAGGGACCTGGCATCGGCGTTGGGGGAAACCTCAGGCGGGAGCTTTTAGGCGGCTCGCTGAGTCCTTGACACAAAGAGGCCCCGCATTGACCAAAGGTGGCAGCCAAGAGGCCACCACCCGACCTCCCGGGAGATCGACGACACGCGGCCGTGGCGCTGGCCAAGCAGGGCATTTGCATTGCAGTGCTCGTCGCCCAGGGCAGAGGAGGATCTCTGCCGGGGTCGCCCTCGAGAGCAGCCTCGCTGAC